TATATATAATTTTTAAAAAAAAATTGGGAGAGCTGTGGCTCTCTGTCACCAAGGTCCGCCCTTGTTAGGTGCGACCATAAGATTTTAAAAGTGACCTGTGATGTACTATGTTAGAAGTTTTTGGAAGAGAAGTTATATTTATAATTAACTTCCTAATTTTTTTTGAAATAAACTTTAAGACATAACTTCTATTTATATTGGTAACTTTTTATAATTAATGGTTAAGATTTCTTAACAAAACTTTAATATGATAATTACAAATGACTCTTTAGAATTTTTTCAATGATTGACATATATTAAACCATTCTATATGCTATTTAAGAATTATTTTCTAAAAAAATTCTTCTAGAATATGCTTCTAAAATTTGACCTTGACATGTTTCTAAAAAAAATTTATTTTCACAAATAAATTTCAAAATCAAGTTTATATCTTATCAACACTAAACCATACATAAGGGTACATTGTTATAACTAAATTAAAAACTCACTTTCCTTCTTTCATTTCTTCATTTAAAATAAGTTTTAAAGCTAACGAATGTGGTATTTTGGTGATCGATCATGACTAATTTGCAAAGTTAAATAACTCAATTCAGAACAGTACAATAAGCTTGATCAGTCCAAAATTTTATATACAGGTGAAGGAAGCAATTAGAAGATTTTTCAAAATAAAATGAGCATAGGCTTATAATAATAATGACAAGGGAAAGGAGGAGATATAAGTACCTCGAGTTCTCATAATGTGGTAACAGAGAAACGTGGTACAGAAATTCGAAGTGACGGAAATTCTTCTCCCTGAGAGCAGTAGATGAAATCAAATCTGTTTGAAATGATGTCTGTATAATAGGACTTGATAACATCCCATGATTTATGAAGAAGAACAGAGTTTGTCCAACAAGGAAGGAACAGTGTTTCAGTTATCACATACAATGCAGACTGGCTCATGGTGCTTCAAAATGTAGAAGGACAAATTTTATTGATCAATGATGAGCATGAAGTCATTCAATGATTGAGGCCATTGTAAACACTTGAATAAAGTAAGTCACTTGAAAATTATTTGATTATTATTCGATCTAAAATATATCTTACATTAATTATTATTTTTAACAAAATATATAATTAGTTAAAAAAGAGATATTTAATTTTCTAAAAAATTTAAATATATAAAATTTTGGTAGTACACAATTAACATTCATTACTTATTAGAAATATTAAAAAAAATACAAATTAGTCTTAATAATAAATAAATGTCACGCATAATAGGTCATAAGTCAATAAAAAAAGTTTCTAAAAATATTTTTTTATTTTTCCGAAAAGTATTTTTAAAATATATTTATACTCTTTTAGAATGAACTGTCTAAGCATATTTCTAAAAAGTAATTTTCGAAAAAATAAATTTATTTCTCTTTGGGGAAACACTTTTGATTATATACATATTTTATCTTACGAAACTGATTTTTTTTCTTTCAGAAAATACTTTTTGAAAAAATATTATTTTTCCTTCAGAGTGGGTATTAAAACATAGTTCCGAAAAATTCTTTCAAGAAGAATAAAAGTATACTTTTAAAAAATATTTAAAAAAAAACAAACTTATTTCTCTTCTGAAAAAGGAAAGTACTTTCTAAAAATATAATTTTCTTTTCTTTTAAAAAGTAGCTTCCGGTAATATATTTTCCCTCTTCCAAAAAAAATGTTTAAAAAACAAATAAATAAATGACACGGGTAATGTACTTAATAAATGGTGGTGTTTCTAACAAAAGCCTAATCATAGTACACTATCAGCCCGCTTATTTTTTACACGTTAATATGATAGTTACTTAGAAAAATTATACCAAATATAATTTTTAATTTTTTATTCAGAAATATAATTTTTAGTTTACTAACAGTATAAAAAGTTATATTCTTTTTTTAAAAGTTTTATACTGACAATACATATTTATTTAACTCATTATAAAATTTATATTAAAGATTCTAATCAGTAAACAGTGTAATGATCACAACGTAAAATCAGCGTATCAAAATTAAACTAATAAATCCCATATCTGTTGAGAAGTCCATTTCTCAAGAGTCTTCTAGATTAGGTTGATACTATGTAGCCTGCACCCATTACACTCAAAATAAATTTCCAAGAAGAATGCGATCAAGGTTGGCAAACGAAAGACAATTGCAAGAGCTTCCAATATTACAACGCAAGGGAGGATATAACATACATTCCTACAGAGAAATATAAAAAGATTAAAATGGGTGCAGTGGGATGAAACCACAAATTATTGCACACTACTCAAACACACGGGGGCATTCACTGTACTTCAGGGAAAACATAAGTTCCCTCAGTATACTGAACATAATGACGAGGATTGCTCATGAAGCCTGCAAGTGCTGAATTATATGAAATGCCTTTAATTGCCTTATACTGATTCCACCAAGTCATGTAGCTGCTTTCCGTCAGGAAAATCTCTGGTGACACTTCAAATTTCATGAGCAACCCATAAACATACTCCTCGAAATCAACCAACTTCCTAGTTGCCTCTTCCTTCTCTTTCAGGCTAGATTGTACACTTTTCAACTCTTTGCACAAAAGGAGAGCCTCTTCAACATGTGCCCAAAAGCAAGAATCAAAGGTTAAAATTAATTCCACATTCGTTCTGTTTGTTCTGTTTGAATCGCCTGAATCTCTTCTCCTCCCTTCTTTCACCCACTCCTCCAACACTTTATAATGTTTAGATCTTTGGTTAGTGATATAATCTTTACCACCATTCGCGTAGTATTCAGCAATATCCAGGGGTTCAACCATTCTCCTGTAGTTAGTCCCCGCATAGAGCCAGCGTATGCGGAAAGCTGCACCTTCTCTCTGTGGTTTCATCTCTGCCTCCTCAACCATGTCTTTCCAGTAATTTGTGAGGTTTTTCTGGAACTTAACAGCATCTTGGTCACTTGTTGAGACACTCCTCTTGTAGCTGTCATAGTACCCAATATCTCGATTCTTGGAATCCTTCTTGTACCATTCAAGTTGGGCCATATCTCTCTTCATTACATTCAATTTCCTGGATGGATCAAATTTAATCTTCTTCTGGAAAATGAACTTCTCTTCCAGTTTTTGCATCTTTGTTACCAAAGTATTCACATCAATGTTATGTTGCAACTGACTAATATCCAGTGTTTCCATCTTTGTTGCCAAAGTATTATTATCAATGTTCTGCTGTTGTTGCTGCTGCCAAATCAATTTTAGACCATAGATTAGGAAAAATTTGATTCATCAAATACTAGTCTAATTACACATAACAAGTCTAATAAGGTTTACTAAAATACAAGCGTTTTAGAAATAAAGGATATTCAGCTACCTGCACATCGAATAATCCTAGTGCTGCCCACAACTGCAAACAGATACTTGCACGCAGTGAATTAGAAGTATTCAAGTCCTGCATCCGTGGGGTAAAGTCCTTGCAAATTGCTTTGCGATAGAGATTTTCCACAATGTTTCCATAATCTATGGGCTGAAATCCTTGATTTTGATGGCCGATTGAGACCACAAGAAGTTCCAAAACAGAAAGGGGATTCTCAAAACAAGTAGAATTTGTATCAGAACAGAAGAGAAATGTGCCAAAAGGCATGTAATCATCGGTGCCAGGCTTCAATTTCTTTGGCTGCGGGTCTTTGTAAGAGACCACGTGTAAAAAGCATGAACTCCATGTAGAACTACGTGATATGGCTTCTTGAAAACTTTTGTCACCGACAAGGGGAGAACCAAAGGTGATGCAGAGAGGGTGTTTCTTTCCTAAACCAGGGCTATCTAACAACAATAAAGTGAAGAGAGATGCAATTGGTCCTCCTAGACCATGACCAGTAACAATCAATCTGGGAGAGTCATTAATCTGCATCAGAAATATGATTATAGGGGCTTAGAGGAAGAACAATAAATGCCCTTGGAAAAAAGAAACAAAGAGTGTGTTGGATTTCTATTTTCATTTTAGTTTTCAAAACAATAAAGAAAACAAACATATACACCAAACTCATGTCTCACACATGCAACACCACTCCTTAAAATCCTAAAACTCCATACATCAATTGAATTGTCATATAACCATCCATTGCATACCAAACTCTAATTTTGATTGGACATGCGCAACAATAGTGCATATGGTGATATATCTAAGTTTTGTCTTTCTAACTAGTTCATAGTTTTGGACAGAGAAACAGTTTAGTAAACTCATACAAATCTCCACATTTGCAGCACAAAATTTTCCATGCAGGTCAACTCAAAAGTGCAATTTAGTATCCAAAAGAGTCTACTACGCTTCAGCTCGCAATTTTTCATATCAAAATCAAAGAACAATGAAAGGTAGAGAAGTAGAAGTAAGCAAATACCTCGGATTTCAACTCATCAAGCCTCTCAATATTTTCAGATAAGAGCGAAACCGCAGAGGCGTTAACCTTAAAATCCAGAATTTTCTTGTTACACAGAAACTCAAAGCGGCGGAAATTTTTCCCCCTGAGCTCAGAAAAAGAAACCAAACCCGGTTCAAGATGGAAATCCGGTTCGACCTGAAACGCCAGAACCGTCAAATCCGAAGCCGGTTCTTGATAGAGCTTCCAGGACAAGGCTCGACTCCCGACGATGGCTTCGACAGGAGAAGAGATAACGCCCCAGGTGTTGAGAAGAAGGCCAGAGCTTGCAACAAACGGCGCTTGCACGAGTCCAGAGCTAAATCTGCAGCCACAACAAAGAAAAGGAGTTACTATGCGAATGAAATTCCAGCAAAAGGAAGGTTTAATTTGTGGCATACTGTTGAGGAAGAGTCATGGCGGTTGCGAGGGTAAGGAAGCTGAAGAGTGAGGATGAAGATGAAGGTTGTGAAGAGGTTTGGGTTTATTAAAAGGGAAGACCAAGACTCTGAGCCTGAGGCATGGACTTGAGAAACTCTGAGGAAAGGCATAGGAAAAAGGAGAATGCATTGCAAAGAAAAGAATTGGGAATTTGCATGTCACCCATACGCGTCAACTTTATTTAACACTATTGTCCTTGCCAACTCATCCATTCACATTTAAATCTTTTTTCCAAAAATTTAAAAATATAAATTTAAAAATTATTTTTAATATTTTTAAAATTTTAAATAAAAAATCACAAATATTTATAAACACTTCATAGGTGGTCACGCAAGTAGACATAAAATACAAAACAAATTTTTAGCCAACAGAACAAGTTGGGATATCCTAGTACCCATTTCCATCCCTGGTGGCTGGTTCCCACCTACTCCAATTAAAAATGAACCTTCACTGTAATTGCAATAAATTGACGATCGTAGCTAGAAAATGTCCTCCAACAGTTATTAATTAAAAGGACGTGGGAGGTTTTCGTGGAAACTAAGTTTGGGTGAAAAATACAAGTAATGTAATTTCTTTATGTGTTTTTTTTTTTTTTTATGTTTTCTTACACAAGATTTATTATTCAGATGATTTTGTGATTCCTCTTACTTGTTTTTCATTCGGTTAAGAGAAAACAAAATAAAATATAAAAAAGTTGCAGGGGGAAACAGGGAAAAATGAAAATTTGTTACTTAAATTGTCTTCGCTTCCTCTTCAACCAAATAATATAGCTTTTTAAATAAATAAATAAATAAAAATCTTCCTTATTTTCTTTATCTCCATCCAAACTAATTATTTATTTAGAAAAATTCCAGTAAAATCACCTAGTAAAAGACATCAAAATCAAATATGTAAACTGTATTGCTAATATTATTGCAGATGGCCCACTGAAATTGACAATATGCTTATTAAATTCTTATTAATATAATATTTACATATTTTAATGTGAAAAATATATATTACAAATTAAGATAAAGATGGGCACAAAGCTCCTTACACAAGTTTGGAGGCCCATTTCTCGGTATTAGTTCTGGGCCTTTTCAAAATCTTATGAACTCTTTCTTTGTTGTCATTTCAAAAGGCTCGTCATCATATACATATACCTCTTTTTTTTTTTTTTTAATAAATATACTTTTTTTTCTTTTTTAAAAAAATAAATTCTTAAATATCTTTAATATTTTTATTTTTTATTTTATGTCTCCACCTTTTAAGGTATAAAGTTAGAGACATAAAATTAAAAAAAAAAATACAAGTTTTTAGACATATTGTAATTTTTCTTGGCAAAAGTCCAGTTTAACCCTGAGGAGAAAGATATAAAGTCTCTTTTAAAAATTGAGTTTCATAAATTCATTCTTAATAGTCTTCGAGGCATAAACTAAAGAGAGAAGTTCTAGAATTCTAAGTCTTTCTTTCTTATTTCTAGCGTTGCCAAGATCATAGTTGGGTAATTGGGCGGTGATTTGAAGTTCGTAACTAAGGATTATCATCGTGATTGTGTTGGTGCAAAGCTTTTGGAGTTCTCGAAGATCCTTCTTCTTCATCTTCCTTGTTTCACTTCGAATCTAGGGGAAGGGAAACTATACTTTTAAATTTTTGTTGGATTATTTCCGGTTGCATGTTGGTTTATTGCATGATTTCGTGGTTGCATGATGAAATCCTAAGTTGTGAACTGAGGTATGTTGAGTTTTCATACTTTGGAGCATGTTGGGTTGGATATTAGTGAGTTGGTGGTTTCTTAACCGATTATTGTTGCATGTTGTTAATTTGTTGATCAAAGAGTTATTGATGATGTATATGAATGATATATTGTGTTGCATGTTGGAATTTTTTTGAATTTCAGGTGGTTTGAGCCAATTTGAAATTTTGTTTAGTGTAGAACTCATCATCATGTCAAACTCACCTTCATGGCATTGGGCATGGCTCAAATTAAGGGTCTTTTGTCTAACTCGTGTTGGGTGCAAAATTGGTGACATCGAGTGTGAGGAGAGAGAAAAACCTCTTACTTGGTCATGCCAAGCATGGGTTGTATGGCGTCCAACATGACCAAGACATAACTCTCTACTTGAGTGAAAACTTGTGCCAATGGAATGACATCGAGTGCGAGGAGAAAGAATCATCTTTATCTAAATTGGGGTCGACATGGGTTTATCCACGCCAAGTGTGATTGTCCCAAGGGATATTTAATCTCCTCCATGTTGAGTGCGAGTTAATGGCTCTCAACGTAGGCGAGACTAAGAGTTCTTTATCACAATGACGTCAAGCGTAGGGTAGATGGTGTTGGGCATGAGTTGCTTTATGAAGACTTGTTGTTTGATTGAGAAAATGTTGAACATGGATAGGTTAGGTGAATCTACATGTTGTATGTCGATTAATGTTGATGGTTCCATATTCATTGATATAAAATAATGCATATAAATAAATAATTGTTGAATTGTTGAGACATTAATACTAAGAACGTTTTAAGCATTTAGTCATGTTGTGGTGATTAACTATTGAACTATAAAGGTGATGATGCTAAGACTGCTTAAGGCGTTTAGGCATTAGGATGTGTTGTATTGATCAACTTAGGACTAAAGGAGGGGGTATTTTTGAAAGTTGAATATCTCATTATGTGGATATTAGTTTGATACTTTCTGAGCCCAATTGTTGAAAAACTTTTCCTAAGTAGTTGACTCTTGAAATGGATAGTTAAGTCTCCTCTAGGACTTTAGTTGATGTGGTATGTGGACCAGGTCAAAGTATATTAGTTATAAGTGACCACAGTATAGGGGTCAGGTCGAGCTATATTGATTACAAATGACTAACCGAGTAAGGTACAAGGTTGAGGGCTTAGTCCCTAACTGAGTACTAGAAGGGCGTAGTATTTGAAAGGTAGTCAGCGAATTAAATCCATAGGGGACTTAGTTATGCAAGCTAATGACGTGGTAAGCTCACACCCAAGTAGTTTTGTCTTAACAGAAATACTAGACTTCATAGTTTAAGTGACGAAATTCAAGAAACCATGTTGTTATATATTAGTATCCAAATTGGTTGTTGATATAGTAGGTGTAAAAAGATCACGTTAGTTTCATAAGGTCAAGTCAATTAGACTACTCACCTATGTGGAATTATGTGTTGAATGACATGGTTGTGGTGTAAGTCTGGAATGATTAAGTTGTTTATCCTTCAAAGTTGTTGATGTCATGTTGACGTGTTATTGATATGTTGTTATGTTGTAAGACATGATGTGATTTTTGTTGTATGGTTTACATGTTACTAATTGGTAGTATAATTATATTTGCCTTTTATACTTGTATGATTATCCTTTTGAATACTAGCTTACCTTTCCATGGTTTCTTTTTCGTGGTTGGACTGTGATAATTATGTTTACATAGGAGTAGGACAGGATTAGGCTAGAGGAGTTTGGCGAGTTGAGGGTCATGTTAGATGGCAATGTAACTTGATGTTACCTTTTTATAGTTTTGTAGAGTTGCCTGACTGACAACCTAGGTTTACATTACAATTGTTTTGGATTACTATATATACATACATATGTATAGGATATGTGGTTGTTTAGTTGAGGAATATTTCTTTTGGTTGGTTTATCCTTATGCATATATTTATATTTTTACATGTACCTCCTAGGAATTGTTTGTATGTTCACCATAGGTAGTTGTGTATGTTTTCACTGCTAGTAGTTGATTCGTTACGTGTATGGATCATGGCGGATTGCTACATTTGAGACGTAGAATTGGTGTACAACAATGTTATAGATGCATGCAACTTCCCTAATAATGTTGAAGGTGTCAAGCTAGATGAACGTTTTTTCTTCGAGTACTTCCTCCCCTAGAAAGTACAACATTAAATTTAGTGCTCTAAAAAATACTTAAATAAAACATTAATTTTAATGTTTCAAAAAAATACTTTCAAAAATAGTGAAATTTGTGTTTTGAAAAGTATTTTTAGAATTTTTTTACACACTTTCATAAAGTACATTTTAGACCACTAAATTTACTATTTTGAAAAAAAACTTTCCAAAATTATGTAAAACAATACACTTTCAAAAAATACTTTCTAAAATAGTAAAATTAGTGTTCCAAAAAAAACTTTCTATAATAGCTTGGACACACCAAAATAAAAGAGATTTATACATGTGTGAGATTATGCAGTTGATGATGACTTAAATGAAATAATTTGTAATACCTATACCAACAAGATGCATCTTTTTGGTAGCTCATTACATAAGAATTTCACAGTTAAGTGTATTTGACTTAAAACAATTTAGCGATGGATAATCTTCTAGAAAGTTTCCCAGAAAGTGTGCAAGTGAGGACAAAGTATGTTGAAAAAGTTTTATGTTGGTTTGTTTGGTTATTTGTTGATCCTAAAATATGACAAATATCTTTAAAATGGCTACCCACGGAGGATTCTGACCAGGGAGGAGTTGTGTAAAGCGTCAAAGTGTAAAGTGTCATGGAGTTGAGTCATTGAGATGTCAAATTTAAGGATTGTTATAAAGGGTTTCAAACTAGGTCTTCTCTCATAGTACGGTATGATTCAAGGACAAACCAAGCAAAATATGGTGGACTTGTAATTACTCAAACACACTAGAATGAGAAGGATTTAGATATTTGCACGTGTGAGATTGTGTAGTTGAGAATGGCTTAAAGGAAATGATTTGTACTACATATTCTAACAAGATGCATCTACTTTTTGGTAGCTCATTATATAAGAATTTCACAACTAAGCAAGTTTGGCTTGGAGCGATTTAGGGATGAGTGACTTTCTGAGACGTTTTCCAAAAAGTGTATGAATGAGGATAAAACACATTGAAAAGTCTTATGTTGGTTTGTGAGGTCATTCGTTAATCCTAAAAGCATATGGACATCTCAAAAATGGTTACCGATAGAGGGTTTTGACTGATAAGGATTCTGAACAAAGAAAAGTTGTGAGAAGTGTCACCGTTTGAAGTGTCATAAACTAGTATAGTTGCTGAGATGTCAAATTTGAGAAGTATTACACTTTTTAGAACTGTGTTGTTTTACATAATTTTGAAAATTTCCTTATGAAACAGTAAATTTAATGTTCTAGAAAGTAATTTTTGAAAGTATGTAAAAATACAATTCCAAAAAATACTTTCAAAAAAAACTAATTTCACTATTTTAGAATATTAAAATTAATGCTTTGGAAAGTATTTTCTGGCATACTAAATTTATTGTTGAGGTTTCAAGAAGTGTGAAAAGGGAGGAAGTGTTCGAAGAAAAAACGCGCGTTTGACTCAGCACCTTCAATACTATTGAAAAAGTTGCATGTGTCTACATCGCCGTTGCGCACCAATTCTACAATCTGAGTGTGTGTGAAAACTAGAAGAAAAAAAAAAGACAAAGAAGAGAGTAATGTGAAAATCAAAAAAATTAAAATGACCTATTAAAATAAGGGAAGAGCAAGGAAAAAACAAATAGATGCATGTGAAAATTAAAAGGGAGAATGAAGGAAGTGCGTAAAAAAGAGAAAATACTAAATTGAACGTTAGAAGTGTAAAATTAAAAAATTAGAGAATAAAAAAGATTAAAATATTTTATAATTTTTTTTAACAAAAAAAGGAAGTGAACTTATTATAAAAAAAAATGTATATGTCATTACTCATGAGCCTTTCAAAATCGTAATTTGGTCGTATTAGATAATTTGATCCATTCTGTTTGGAAACATCAATCAGCCCATTTCACTCAAGAACGTTCAAAAAAGACCAAATGTTATACAAGTAAAATGGCATCAAATTAAAAAACAATATTTATAGTCAGAAAATAAATTGAATAAGTTTAAAAATTAAATATCCAACGAGGATCAAATACAGGGAAAAGGAATGGTGGTCTCTCCCATCACCAATCAAAGTTCAATTAAATATTCATATTTAATATTCGATTGTGTCACATAGAAAATGAAAATGAAAACTTAAATTTTTCTCTCTTTTATTCATTTTCTTCTCTTTCAATTTTTGGTCCCATCTAACTGGACATTGATTGTCCTTTCATTTTCGGCCTCATTCGTTTCAAAGTATATATTGTATTCTCACTTTATTGATAGTATTTTACAACTTCATTTGATTAAAACATTCAAAAATAACTAATATCTTTAATAAATAAAAAGTCAGTAAAGTAACAACTATTTCAAATGGACTCTAAAAATTACTCTTTTTAATTAAAATTTTAAATTAAGATAAAATATGACTTCATACAAATTTTTATAAAATGATACACGAAAGAAGTTAAATAATTATCAACTATATCGCCCTTTTTAATGGAAAATGACTTTACTAACTAGATCACCGTTTAGAACATTCACAATGTGGAATCCTAAACCCTGAAAGTTACTGTGAAGATCTGTCTGGCTTGCATCTCATGTTGAGCTTAATTTTTGTTAAGCATCTTATGTTTATATAAGCACAAGAACTTCTATACTTTTTTAATTAAAAATTATGGAGAAAAGAGAGATATTAGAAGAGGTTGAAAAATGTCTATCAAAAACTCAACTCTTTTTTAAAATAGTGAAGTAGTAACAAAATTGTAAAAGAGCAAACAAAGAGAAAAAGTATGAAGAACATGTTGGGATTCATCCCAAGTCCCACATCGGTAAAATGAAGGAACATTGGCTAGTTTATAAGTGTCCACCATTCCAAATAGTATGAGGCCTTTTGGGAAGGAGCCCAAAAACAAAACCATGCGGGCTTGGGCCCAAAGCGGACAATATCATACTATGATGGTGGAACAGGTGGACTAGCGGGCCCAACAAGTGGTATCAGAGCCAACGGTTCGACAGGGTTCGATGCGGGAAGACCCTCAGTGTTGTGCCTCGCGATGGAGAAGAGATCCGAACTTGGTGCCTTGTGTCGAAAGTCTTCCTGATATCCTGGTGTTCAGGCAGCGTGTCCCGTAGAGTTAACGGCGGTACAAGATGGGGGAGGTTTGTTGGGATTCATCCCAAGTCCCATATCGGTAAAATGAAGGAACATTGGCTAGTTTATAAGTGTCCACCATTCCAAATAGTATGAGGCCTTTTGGGAAGGAGCCCAAAAACAAAACTGTGCGGGCTTGGGCCCAAAGCGGACAATATCATACTATGATGGTGGAACAGGTGGACTAGCGGGCCCAACAGAACATATAGGTGTTTTTATACTGGTTCGTCTCAACCATTGAGACTATGTCCAATTTTTGATCAATCTAATGAAGTTTTACTATCTTTTACAAAGATACAAATATTCTTTCATAAGTCATTTCTAGTTCAACCTAAGTATTTTTTGACTTATCTCTTCAAACAATTACCTAAGTATTCTTTGAGCACAAAGTCTTTTCAAGCTTCAAATAACTAAGTATTCTTTTACATTCAAGTCTCTTAAGACTTTAACAATCAAATATTATTTTATATTCAAGTCTCTTCGGGCTCTAACAACCAAATATTCTTTTACAGTCAAGTCTTTCTAGACTCAAAACAATAATAAAAAGTTAAAGTTTGGTAAGCTAACAATATTGTTTCATCTTATTATCAAGACCTGATACAACCAGTTAAATACAAGGTTTTTTCATCAAAAGAAATGTACAATAATGTTCATGTAAATCTATCTCTCACTTCTTTATGACTCTTCAAGCTTCTTTAGTAGGTATTTCATGAAAATGATCATTGCAAATCCTTGAGCGTGTCTCACAAGCTTGTTTCGTCTGTTTTCATCTTTATTTAATATAGAGAAAAGTGTTTGTTGATGTATTAAATGTTTGTATTTAATGCGTTTAACCAAATTGTTATTTCTTATCTAATCAATGAAGATATTTATCACTTTTTAGATACCAAAAGAGAAGAATTTTGAGTTCAATCCGGAATAACTTCTTATAATTTTTCGTTCTTTGTGGGGTATGCTATTTTTTTTATACAAAAAACATGTCTTTAGCTCTAATAGTGAATTGTGAGTACCAAATAAACTATATTTTCGATCTTTGAAGAATCATGTGAAAAAAAAATGATTTTGTTATCGATCATCATAAATGATATAAGTTAAGAACATATGTCTTACAGGTGAATTGTTTCGTCTACGAGACTTAATATCAAAATATCTAAATGTCTTAATCAAATCTTCTTATAAATATTTGTCATATGTTTAATATCATTAAAACTTAAAATTCTAAGAAATTTAAGATATTTTTTGATTAAAAAAAATTAAATTTATAATATATTTTTAAATGTTATACAATAAAATTTTCTAAAGAAAGCTAACATTATACAATGAAAATAAACATTATATTTTAATGTTATAAAATTATTTTTTTAATATAATTTTAAACACCAATATTTGTATAAATTAATACCTGTATAAATAGGATTCATAGTATTTTTTTTCTCACCAACTTCCTAATTTTCTTCTTCTCTTTCACACTTTGTCTCTTATAATCTCTTCTTAAGCTACTTTTATTAACTCTCAATTATTATTATTTTATTTGTTTTCACGTAATGAAATTAAATCAAAATCAATTCAATCCTTATTTTAATTATGCATTTTTTTTAATTTTTTAATTTTTATATTATCGTAATAACATAATTTTAATTGCCTTCATTATTTTAAATAAATTTTAATATAGTTAAATATTTATTTTTTATTTTATGTCATTAAAAAAATATTTTGCAAAATAGTAGAATAAAAACTCTCTTAATGTATAATTTAATATAAAAAATTAAGTTTATAAATAAATTATTAATGATACATAAAAATGTAACATTTTTTGTGAGATCCATTTAAAAATTGAAAAGAGATGCTTATATGATAAATAAATATAAATAAATAATGTGTACACATAAATCTCACTTTAGCACCAAAAGAAGAAATCTCCATTGAAAATCAACTTACAAACTTTAAAAATTACTTTCTAACAGTTATATATTCTCAATCAATTATTTTTTAATTCACCATATAATTTCCCCATTTTTCATAACCTACCATTTCTTCTTGTTGGTAATACCAAGTATAAAAACTTCATTAGAAAAAGAGAGAGAGAGAGAGAACTTATGAACTATCCGCCCCTATAATTTTATATCATTCATATTGATTTATATTTCACCAAATGAGTTCACCTTTTCTTTTTAAGCAACCATTATTCCCAAGGTAACTTGCTCATACATACGACTGCTCCAATGCCACATGGAAATTGTTTCCTTTTATAGCTCAAGTTACCATCGTTGAAACATAGTGCATTAATTCAAGGCATTCACTTTTGCTTTTCTAATTACAATTCAATGAAGGCATTCTGAGAGTGGTAGATGGCATGGTTTAATATTGCGACCCCATGGCTGAATCCATGCCAACAAAAGGACAAGTCAAGAATATCTCCCCCACCTAACAATATCTCAAAAAGCTGTGCCCAAAAAGGAATCAAATTTAACGAGGGTCATATTCAAATTAAATTGTAGTCCTCATAATTTCGTACAGCACAAACACTTCCTTATATTAATCATATGAATATAAATTTCTTCCTGGACCACACCGATCCTAAAGACAACACAAATAGTGTTGACTATTTTGATTAACATGACGACTTGTATATAACTAATGCTCATCACTCGGTTATTAAATACACTAGCAATTCAAACCACATAATCATTCAAACTTGATTACTTAAACAAAAGCTTAGGTACTACTAGATATGCATGCATCTATGGGCACTTGTATTTGTTGCCGTGAGTCAACATGTCAGTGTAACACTTCCCACACTTTTCCCTGTTACCATAAGTTCCAGGAGGGACACATTTGCATCGGTCACAACATGTCATGCATGCTCTCATGCACAATCTCTTCCTTGAGTGCAATTGGCACCTGTAATCACATAGTGGAATGCAATCTGCCCACAAAAAAGTTGTAGAAAAACAAAAGACATTGTATCATTAATTAATCAGATCTCACTAATCCACACTTAATTTAAAACAATTTAAACACTAACAATTGAGACAATGGTTCTCTCACATCCATCATTGGATTATAGAACGGATAACAATGACAAAAAAGTGGAGACGGATAACAAGGACAAAAGAAAAAGTAAGGGTTAAATAATTTTCAGATCTCTCTGTAATATATGAATTTTTTCATTTTAATATTTTTAAACTTAGTTTTGTCTGTCTTTGGATCTATAAGTATGTAGAAAGTTCTAACACCATTATAAATAAAAAAAAATCTATTAACTTAAAAATAAAATAAAAAAATGAAAACTAAACGGTAGTAGCAGAAAATTTGACAAAACAAAAACACTCTACAGTAATCAAATCAGGAGAAACATTTAACAATATTAAAACCCCACATTACAGGATTAAAAAATTGTTTCAAAGTCCAAAAGATAATAATAACAAATAAAACAATAGACGTGATAAAATGAAAAGGAGAAAAATAAACAAAAGGTTTGAATATAAATATGACATTTGTGAAAAATCAAAATTATTACTAAGTTGAAAAAGGACTATTCATTTAATTACACATTTTTGTTCTTCCTCTACTACAATGCAAAGAAAAAATGTGGCATAATCACTTACCCTTCTTTGATTTCACCACAGGAGCTGGTGGGGATGGAGCAACAGGAGGGGACACAACTGGGGGTGATGGATATGTAGGTGGCTTCACAGTTGGAGGCTGAGAAGGGGGTGCTGGTGTTGGAGTTGGTGTTGGTGGCTTTACTACTGGGGATTGAGGAGGAGGCACCTTAGAAGGGGGTGTTGTTGGTGTAGTCACTGGAGGATAAGATGGTGATTTCACTGGAGGTGCAGGAGTTGGTGCCTTCACTGGTGGTGCAGGTGCAGGACTTGTCTGTGTCACAAAAACTAAGATGTAATCTACTGTATAACTAAATAATACAAGTTTTTTCTTTGGTTGGTTTAAGATATCTGTAGCCATGTGTCCAAAAAGATTGTACTTGTTAGTAAAGGAGTGAAAGTCATGAAAAAATTAAAAAATAGTGTGCTACATTTTTAAGTAGCACTACTCCATTTTGCTTGTTGGTGTCTACAAAAATGTTTTATACTTAAATTTTCTTCTTTATAAAACATTTTAATATTGAGCATATAGAAAGGATTAAAAGGCACATTTTATTGTCAACTAGTTTTCTTGCTAAAAAGATCATCAATAATGTTTGACAAAATTTAAACTTTGCAACAAGCTAGCTAGATTAGACTACTCTTGATTTAAGAAAGTAAACAAATCATACAGATCAGGACAAATATTAGAAGCGCAACTTGAGATCAAAGTGTACATACCACTATCTTGAGATCTTCATCATGGGAAAAAACCTGCATATGTGCACAAGGTGAATATTCATACTAAAGTAAGAAATACTTGAAGCAAGAAAACAACTTGAAATGCACTTTGTTATGTGAAAATGACCAGTGAGTGAAAAGCAAAATAGAAAAGTGTACCCTTGTGGTAACCACAAGAAAGATGGCCAGAAGAAGAATGGAATTGGAAGCCATTTCTGGAGCTGGGACCAGAAAGTGGGAGGAAGAGTGATGAATAGCTGGTTAGTGTTACTTACAGAAGCAACACAAGTAGTTGATGCATTATATAGAGGTCAAGGTGAGAAAAAGTTAAGCAGTGTGGCAGAAGAAAAGGACTTCGGTAATAGGGTGGTGAATTAATGCCTAGCTGTCACCTAGTTAAGTTAAACTGACTAAAACAGCTTCCACCCACGTGCCTCTAGCATTGTGTCTGCTAAACTAGCATTATCTTATGCCTAGTTCTTACAAAGAGTGTGTGCTGCCACTAATCTGTGAAGCTTAACACACAAGGCCTGTCTTTGAGAATTTGACTCCAATTACTACAGTGCATAGAAGTCTGGAAAGTCATGACATAAGTTCTGACGAAATCTTGGTTTGACAAACTCACCAGTCAAACTCATGCTATTATTTTGATCCTGATTTTTACTCTAACCAGTTTAAGTAATTTGAATGTGTTTGAGTAAGTTGAAGGGGGAGTAATGTTGAGTTAATTTGAGTTGGAGTTTAAAAAAAATTATATTCACAAGTTTTTTTTTTCTTTTTTATATTGAAACACATTTTTTCATTAAACATAATTTTAAATTGAGATTAAAATAGTCAATTCATCATTTAGTTCAATTTAGTACTCCCTTCTTCATCTTTTTTTTTATTGTCTTTAAAGTTAACAAGAATTAAGATAATAATTAATATTTTAATTTTTCAAAGTATTTATTATATATTTTTTTGTTATACTTTTTGAGTAATTAAAAAGAAATAAGTATATTAAAAAAATGAATAAACACATTATTTAGTAAACATACATTAATTATAAAGAGTAAAAATGAAAAAAAATTAATAAATTATTAATTTTAAAAAAGTGACAATGAAAAAAAAATAAAATCTTAACAAAATAACTATGAAAAAAAAAGAAAGAGTACAAAACAAGAACTAGTTAACTATAAAAAATGCTTAGCACCAACATTTTATCCCATCTTATTTAATATTTTATTCTAATTGATTATTGTACACTTTTTTCATGAATTTTACGTAGTGTTCTAATATTAACAAATAAAATTTAATTTGCACTTAAACATTATTTTAATACAACAAATTCAAATTTAAAAGCACCATGTTTAGGTCAACCCCTATAGTCCAAAATATGCTCTATGACCTAAAGGCTCGATTGTTATTATAGTACACTTTCAATTATTTTAGGATTTATCCTGTTAATATAATAAATCATGTGGATTAATTCGGAAATCCATCACCATACGCAAATTCTCAATACAGTTTAGTGTTATAAATCTATTACCATACGATCGATTATATAAAGTTTTTAATTAAAAAATTGTTCGAATCATAAATTTAATTGTCAATAACATGTGTGTAAAGTAATTAATATATGTAAATTAATTTATAATATTATTTTATTTTCTTACTTTATTTAATATATTATTTATGCAAATATATGCTAATTATTCTCAATAGCATTCTTTTTCCACTTATTTGTTCGCGTCTTTCCATTTCTTTCATCACTACCGAACACACACGGTAAATTATATGGAAAAAAAATGTTTAAAATAAAACGTGGAATGAAATTGAAATCAGTTGAAGGAAGGGTGATAACTCTTAAGCAATGTAACGCTTATTGTGTTTAATTTTTTTTTTTCGTTCATAGAATATTCACTATCAATAATAATGACTAATCTCTTTACTACGTTAAAAGCACTTTAAAGGGTAGAATAGCTGGCCTCAAAATTACTTATTATATTTAATTTTCATTGATAATTCACATTTTAATAATTTCTTATATAAAAAATATTAAATTAATAAGTAATTATTTTTCTAATTTACGTTTAAGATTTGTAAATGAGAATTTAATCATAAAGTAAGATGAGGTCAGAACTCACAGGTCATAAGTTGCAGGATGTGACTTAAAAAAGAGGGGCACTGGGCCCAAATTGCAGTGTCGACCCCGTACTCATCATTTAACCCCTTTTTTTTTTTCTCAGCTTTTGTTTTTATTTTTAAGTCAACTTTGAGAGGAAAACAACTATTGCAGAGATCGCAATTATCACCAACGAAAACCTCTCGGCAATCGTACGTGCTACCAAGAAAAAATAAATTAGTGAATAAAAATAGAATAAAATTAATTATATTTCATTTCAAAAATAAAGAAGAAATGAGAGACAATTAAAAATATATATCGATTCTTAATATTTTTATGATTAAAATCATTTTTACATACAGAATATATTTTTTCTATAATTAATTATAATTTAAATTATTTTTTAGATGAATTTGTTGAAAATAATTTTAAGATATTTAATTTTATTTAGATAGAATAAAATTTAATTTTATATTATAAATTATTTTAGGAGGAAAATCATTAAAAATAATAACTTTCAAAATTTTCAAATTTATAAAATAACTTATCTTAAAAATTATAAATTTAGATACCCCAAATATACAACTTATTATACAAATATTTTTTGATTATTGAAAAATAGTTGAGATAGAAAGAATTATTTTTCAAACGTACTCTAACTTTATTTTAATAGTTAGTTCCTTGATTTAAATTATTTATATAAATTATCATTTTTAATTAAAAAAACAATACGATAGAAAGTAATTTATTGTATCTAAATTCTGTCCATGCTATTGTTACGGACAAGTTCGAAACGTGGAGTAGAAGACACGCTAGTTGACATGGGTTGACAGAAGATGTTGCTACTTTATTATTAGTTTCTCAATAAATATTATAAAAGTGATATTGAGATATGTATGTAATTGTTTTTTATTTTTATTTTTTTAGTAGATTATTATATTTTTATATATAAAAAATAAATATTTTTTTGGAATAATTACTTTTTAATTATTAAAGGTACAAAGTGTTTTAATCTCTTTAATTATTAGTAAAAAATATATATTCTATCTTCTTAATTTTTAAAAATTATAATATAATATTGTAAATTCTTAATTATTATTTTTTAATAATAATTATTTATCTATATAATATTTAAAGTGTGTGTTAAAGAATGTCATTATAATTTAAATTTAAATTAAATATTATTTATTTAATTTATTTATTAATATTAAATATTTAATTAACTTTTATTGACTCTTTTAAAAATTAAACCCTATTAATTTGTTATTTGACGAAGTTATTTGGTGCAGTTGCATGTTGTTTTCGAAAAGTTTCTGCACGTTAGTTTTTTTATTATTTTGCAAAAAATAAAGATTTTAGTACTGAGCATACTCTAGTTTATAAATATCCGTGTTGGAGGAAAATAAAAAATATAAGCAACACTTCATTTATCTCCTCTTTTTAAAGATTATTTATAGTGTAATTATATGTATTTTAGAATAAAGTTCTTTGATTCGGAGATCCTTTCTTATACACGATTGATATTTTAAGAAATAAGTGCATTATAAAATAATTTACTAATGCAGTAAAAACCAATTCTTTCTCTTTGAAGAAAACATCTATTATGCTTTAATCTATTTTTTTCTTTTAAAATCTTATGTTATTTATTTTAGTCATTATTATTTTAATTTATTTGTTAATATTAATTTTGATGTAATTTTGATGGTAAATAATATAAAAAAATTCTCATTATCTTTTAATAAGTTATTATTGACATGTTCTTATTTAAGTTTATATATTTTAATTTAGTAGTTTAATAAAATCATTTAATTTGATTACATAAAATAAAGTTCATTAGTTCATTAATGATAGGTGTAATATTGTCATCTTATAACTTTATTATTTAATTTGATAATTGTTGTTGAGAACTCTAGAACCGGATTATCCTGTGAGCAAGTTGATCTAAAAAAGGTTAGACCAAAGATAAGTAGAGTCGACTCAGGAAAGATATAAAAGAAAATTTTTCAAGAGGAAGCTCATAATTCAAATTTCCTAAAGTTGAAGAAAAAAAGTTAAAAAGAGATTCTCTCCTCCTTCTCCCTTCTTTCTTCTTCTTCTTCTTCCTCACTTGAACCTTCCCTTTTCTACCTTTTTCCACAATTGGTCCTAGTTGGTTGTGGGTTGGAATCCAAGCTTGTGAAAATGAAAGTCGGAATTGTACATAATTCCTTCTCTTCTCCTCTTGCGGGCTTGAGTCTCCAAAAGGTAAGGAAAGTTGTGATTTTGAATTCTTGAATACGTTGTGGGATTGAAATGCTAAATATGAATTGATTTTTGAGTTGATAAGAAGATTGAATGATAAACATGATGAAGTTGAAAGGGTTTTGTGGCTTGAAAAGAAGTAGGAGAGATTGAGCTGATTCTTGATTTCTAATTGTTGCATTTTTTTATGATAATATTATGTTGTAAAATGATGCTTATTGTGTTGCATGTTGTGGGATTTGTTGATTTTCAAGAGATTGGGCAAAATCAGATTCTACATAAGTGTAGAATTTGATATTTTGTTGAGCACACCTTCATGGCAGTAAGTGAGACTTCAAAAGGGTATTCGTTGTCAAAATCATGTTGGGCGCAAGATCGATGGCGTCGGACGTAGGCATGGCAACGGGGCAGGGCGGGGCGGGGGCGGGTTTT